GTTTTATAAGCTCGGCGATTTTTCGTTCGTTAAAAGAAATGGATCAAAGAATTTGTATCCAATTTTGCTTAAAAAATGAAACAAATTTTGTGAAATGTTAACAAAGGCCTATAGTGAGTCTGCTATAAGTAAAACAAGAGTTTACAAGTGGTATAAGAGTTTCCAAGATGGCCGTGAAGACGTTGAAAATGACAAACGCCCCGAACGCACACGCACATTAACAACCAATAAAAACATGGAAAAAGTGGAAGAAATGGTTATAAACCATCAGAGAATTCGCTGATGATGTTGGTATATCGATTGGCTCATCCCATGAAATTTTTTCGAATGTTTTGGGTATGAAACGCGTGGCAGCAAAATTTGTTCTAAAATTGTCAAATTTTGAACGAAATTTTTGGCCAAAAGCAATACTGCAATGATGCCCCAGCCTCCATATTCGCCAGACGTGCCTCTGTCTGACTTTTTCCCATTCCCAAAAATAAAGAGAACCTTAAAGGGCCGTCGTTTTGCAAGCATAGATGATATTAAAAGTGCATCGCTGAAAGAACTAAAGGCTATCTCAAAGATCGAGTTTTAAAAGTGTTTCGAGTATTGGAAGAAGAGCTGGCACATGTGCATAATATCCAATGGGGACTATTTTGAAGACGAATGAATAAATATTTGTTTCAAAAAACGAAAATTTCAGATATTTTCTGAACACACCTCGTATACTTTTTTGCTTAAAATTATCCATTGATTTTATGAAAGAATTATATTTGGATAAAATATTTTGCCATGAAAATTTGAGCTTGAACAGTAAATTTGTATTATCCAAGCTAATAACAACATTTTTCAGGATTTATGTAAAAAAACATTTTGTTTTCTTACTTATTTTCCTGCAACGCCTGTTTACCAAACGTTCAGCGGCCCATCTACAGCCAATTAGCGCTCTCATCGCTCGGGTAACTCTCGATAGATTTTTTCGCGCAACTTTTCTCGTTTATATTTTTTGTTTTGTTTTTTCTGGTCAAGCGCGCACGCCTATCGGAGATGCAAATTAGATCGCATACGGAAACTGGCCGAGGCGACTGGATTTGCAATTAACACAGCCATTAACACACGCTAACTAAACTTGCGAAAAATAAATAAAGCGGTTAAAACAAAAAACTAGACATAAAAAGAATCATTGACGCCGTCCTTGTCTGCGCTTTGCTGTTGATATGTTAATTTGCAAGAAAATGTGGCAATACCATTTATTTGTTTATTGAGAATTTTTCCATTACTTAAATATGGTAATATGAATGTTTGATCTACTGCCACTGTGGAAATTTTTTAAAAAAAGGCAAAAGATTTTTGTGCAATAATCGGAGTTTTCAAGGACATAATTGAGGCGTGGAAGTACCTAAGGGGGTATGTGCCATTTTTATTGTTGAGATTTTTCGTTAAAAAACATAGTATGTACTCTTTTAAAATTCTAATATTTGAATTAGTACCAGCATTTTTTACTAATAAAATAGTCGTTTTCACTTGTAAATAGTTATTTTTTACTACGTAAATAGTTAAAGTTTGACTAATTTAAGATTAATCACCATCTTTGACTATTTCTGCGAGTTAATAGTAACTAATTTCTTTAATCGTTTGCGGCCAACAACAAAGTATTATTTGAATTAAATGCATATAGGCTCCATGGTTAAATGGCCCATAAAAACAAACAAAGATGCAAAAAGTTTAGCAACACTAATAATATATTCAACTTTAAAATATTATGAACAATATTCATTTACAAATAAAATGCATGTTTATAAGAGTGATTGATAGCCACATTGGTTATGACAACAGCTTGACAAGCTTGACAAGTGACAGACCTGAGTTCAATCCCCGGCTGGGTCAAAACTTTTTTAAATTTAAATCTACTAATTTGACTATTTCATTCAGTAGAGTTTGACTAATTATTAGTGACTGCTTTTGCTATGACAATTGGTCAAATATGACTTATAATTAGATATTTTTGACTAATTAATTTTAAGATATGTGCTATGTTTCTAACGAAAAAAGTCGATAATGGTTTATTTTTCAACGATTGAGAAAGTTGGCCATATCCATGAGCATAAAATATTGCGCAACGAGCCGAAGGCGAGTGGACTAATTCATTTAAATAGAGTTAAGCACTACACGTTTCTAATTTTATTATAGAATTTAGTATAATTTTGTGTAATTACCATAACTACAAATTTGATGACAAATGTCAGTGTCAATTAATATTTAAGAAAATAATGAAATAACCGTCACAGTAAAAAAATATATGCACGGCACTGGATTCACCACCCCTCAAAACAACACTAAACTGAACTTTCTTGAAATTTTTTAAGTAGAAACGATTTTGTAGGCAAATTAAAAATAAACTATGATAACTATTTAAAAAAAATTACTGTCAAGTTATCCATGAAAAAAATATGAAATAAAATTAAACTAAAACACAAAACATAAGAAATACAAAAAAATCTCTAAAATTAGATTTTCGTTACCTCTACTGCACAAGAACTACGGGCTAGGGTAATACAAGCCTGCGCAGCCTTTACTTCAGAAAAAATATGAAATAATTGAAATAAATGGTGAAATGGTTAAATCTCATATCATTATTGTTTTAATTTCTATTGCGTTTTTTATTTGTTAAAATTAGTTTAATTTTATTTTAATGTTTTTTTCATGGATAACTTTACAAAATAATTTTTTTAAAATGGCATGCCTTTTTGACATTTTAACTTTTTGGCATTTTGAAATTCCCAGAACGTTTCCCAGAATCTGGGAATTAACAAATTTTAATTTTTTATTAATTTTTTTTTATTGGATATTTTGAATTCCCACGAGTAATAATATTATTAATAGTTTATTATTAATATTAATAACAATTGTTCAACAGATATAAAATTCAATTACAGAACAAATTACACAAAAAAATTAATAAAATAAAAATAAAATAATACACAAAGAAAAAATATAATAAAACTATGTTGAAAAATTTGTATTTAAGTGACTTACTACAAATACAATGCTATAGTAGTATATTAAAGAACTAATGTCATAAGACGTCATTTTGTCGCACGCGGACAATTTATAATGGGCGGGTGCGACAAAAGGTCTTTTGACATGAGTTCTTTATGCTATTTTATCTATTTTGCAAAACTTCTATACCTTAAATTTAATTTGGTCGAATTTTACTTTAGATAGTTGGTATCACAGGCATTGGTTTGACAGTTAATGTCAAAATCGATTCGCCATGCCGTCCTTAATTTACTTATTTACCAATATGCAAAATATGCTTTTTAAAATGTTATAATGAAGTCATTATAAAATCCAAAACAATAAAGCGAAGCGGAGCCCGCAGGTTGACGGCTAGTTTATAATAAAGCTAACTTAGCCCGTGACTAAAATGCCTAAAAATCACTATTGCTAAATTAGCCTGTGACCAGGCTTGCCAACTGTAGTAAATAACAAAACCGTACCGGCGGCTAAAAAATGACCGTACTTTTCAAAACAGGACCGTACTTTCGAGATTTCACATATGACGTCAGCAAAACAAGCATTATTTTTAATGTAAGATATAATGTTGTAAAATTTTACACTAAAACGTAAATTCTTTAAGATATATAAATATATAGATAAATAAAAAAATGTATTTTTAAATTTTTGATGATAATTATGAATTATAAATTTTAATTCATAATTATCATAGGTTATTCATAATTGTGATTTAGAAATAAAGTTATAATTTAAATTATAACGTACGGTCAGGATCGTACCATTGGCAACCCTGCCTGTGACTAAAGCGCCATAAAGTTACAGAAAAAAATGTCTTCTAAATTCATTTTTAGTTGAGACACGACTACCTTAAGAATATTTTTGCAAACAACATTTCATACATTTTCTTTAACTTAACTTCATCCTTGACAGTATTTCTGAAATCCATGCATATGCAGCAGATAATACATACTTCAATGGCGACATACGTAATATTTATTTATATGTAACAACAACAAGCTGGTGTTTGTTCATGTTTATTTGAACTTGCAAATCGAAAGCAAATACAAACAAATCTACTATTGATATTGAATTGCAAATGTGAAACGCACCTGTCTCGATATAGCAGTTTCTTGTGTGATATTTCAGATTACGTGTACTTGATTTAATTTCCGCATAATACTTCTGTATCTGAATAAACTTTGTGTTGTATATCGACTCGTCCCACATACCGGGAACTTCTACCTGAAATACCTGAAATAATGCAAATTTCAGTCTAAACTTATGACTCAGGCCTCCTCGATCACTTCTTGGCATTTCCCGTTGAAAATACACGAGGATGAGTCCGCAAGCATTTATTTTTTATGACACGCAAGTCTTTAAATTAATTCTTATCAGCGCTGTTCAATCGAATGATTCATCGCATCGAATGTTGAAGTTTCAAAACGGTTTGTAGTGTTTAAGCTTCGCATTTTTTCGGCTTTACGATGATACTGTTTATCGCAATTGATATTTTGTAGTTTTGTTGCTTTTAAAGAGCACAAGTCTTGATTAATATATTAATTATAAGTGTGTTGTGTAGATAGTGAATCATTAACTGAATTTTTCAACTGAGTTTTTGTAAAGATTTAGTTTAAAGTATATTAACATCATCATGATTTTATTTAAAAAAAAAACAGTCAGTACAAATGTTCATATAATCTTGGCGACAAGAAACTATTATTTTATTATTTTTGATAATAAAGATAATAAAATAATTTTTCACATTTAGGGTTATTTTAAAAGAAAGACACTTTATTTTAACGATTGTAAGACATTTGACAACTGTCAACTAACTTAAAACTAACTTCTGTCTGTGACTAAAAACCTGTTGCTAACTCAGTCCATGACTAAAGCGCCATAAAGCCACAACTTGTCAATGTGTATTTAAAAGGTCATTTTGTGTCATAGAAACATGTACGATAATGGGCGTTTTAAGGGTGGGAGAAGAAAAAAAGTCTTACCTCTATGACTTCCTGAAGATCAGATACGTAAACAGTTTCAGTATCAAGGACCTCCTGCAGCACCCTCATTTCAGGAGTAATAGGTTGTTCTGCTATTCCACTATCAGCAGATCCTGAAAAAAAAATGTTTTAAAAATTAAATAAATATATACATATATATAGGTGTAATTTTTGATCGATTAAACAAGGAAGTTGTTGGCAGGAAAAAATAAATTGTTTTAATATTTAAAAATAACTGTATTAAAAAAATTCTACATCGACATAGGAAAAAAACCATTGTCAAGAATATTAAGTATACCTCTAACGTCAAATTAATAAAGGAGTCTCAAGAGGGCAGTATCACCTTAAATATTTCAAATGAAAAGGGGGGCTGGTGATACCTCATTTTAAAGGTATTTTATTTCCTATTTGATACTTTTTAAATTTTTAAAATCCGTTTAACGGTTGCTAAGTAATTGAGCATTTGAGTTTTTCAAAGTAATAAATTTTCTTGCAGCCCTAGGCAGCTACCTACGTTGCCTGTTCGGTAAATCCGGCCCTGGCGGTACGAATTATCGCAAATCTGTATCACCATTTATTTATTTTTTGAAACTGTTTTGTTTTTGTTTTGTAAAAAAAAGTACCATTAATTATTATTATTATTAAGGCGGTTTATAAAATAATTGAACTACTATAGTGTAACACTCTTTATTAGTTGTTCCTGCAATTTTACTTATTATCTCTCGGAGAAAATATTTACAGGTTACTTAGTGACTAAATTTTCAAACAACTGGAAGTGTGAGTAGGCAGAAAATATCGGGTGGAAAATTAATTAACAAAATAATGTTTTTTTAAATCTTAAATGAGGTATTTTTATTAAAAATAGTACAATAATCCTTTAAATTAAAGGATTTAATGCTGGTAGGTGACCATGGTGCGCAATTGATAATTATTAACGAATAAAATAATGTATAAAACTTAAGCCAAAGAAAACTTAAATATTAGTTCAAAAATCGTGGGTATTTAAAAAAAATCAGATTTAATTTAATAAGATAATTATTATCAAAAAAAGTAATATTTTTAAAGAAAAATTATTTTTTTTCATTACATCGTCATATATTACAAATATGAAAAAATGTTTTAGACAAATCTACCTATTTTTAGTCGAATGATCCAAATCTGCAATAAAAAATAGAATGTTCCATTGGAAATTCTAAAATTACCCCAAGTTCCCCCTATAAGGAGGAAAAGATTTCCCCCCTTGAATCATTTAATTTTTATTTTAAACATGTTTTCGTAAAATTCATAGTAACTGAGATATTTCAAAGTTTCAAGTTAAATTTCTCACCCTGTATACAAAATCAACTGTTAGAAAATATTTAAAACATAACAAATTTAATTCCTATAAACTAAAAATATTATATCAACGTACAAGATGACCTGGATCGCAGAGAACAATTTTGTGAAGTTATGTGTAAGCGCAATCAATTTTTTTTCCTAAATGGCTCTGTAAATCGGCAAAATGTAGCTACGTTACTGGTCAGATGTTAATCCACATGTTTTTCGTTAATGTCATAGCCAGTACCCACTGAGAAACCATATTGGAGGACCCATATTTTTGAAAGGAAGGCATCTTGTAGGTACTTAAACATGCTTCAAACACAAATTTATTAAATGATTTATGATATAGTTCAAGCTAATCCTGACGAATTTGACACTGAAGTAATATTCCAAAAAATAGAGCGCCCGCACATTATTTTAGGGATGTTAGACGGTGGCTTGATGATACGTATCCAAATAGTTGGATTGGTAGGCGTGGTCCTACTAAATGGCCGGCTCGGTCTCCTGATTTAACGCCACTTGATTTTTTGTGCGTTATTTAAAATCGTAGGTCTATATCACCAAACCGGAATCAATTGATGATCTAATACAACGGTTTTTGTCCGATGTCGATACCTTTTTTTTTTGTAAAAGATAACTTGTAAATAAAGGTGAGGCTTCAACATTCATAATTGAAGGGGCTGGCATCAAGGCAGCAACTTATTACTTTTGACAGTCGTACACGAAAAAACCGTCATGTTTACCAGCTCTGCATTTTCCTGCAAATTGATTCCTGATACTTTAAATGCCGGTGCGTGAGTCGCCAGCAGGACGAGAGCGAACAAGTTGAAATTTGCATTGGCTCGCAGGCGTACTCGTGAAATTTGCATCCTGCCACATGGTTTTGTTGACGGGTCTGCAGTGTGTATAGTGCACGTAAATTGTATATATATATTTATACATATATATACTCCTGCTATGGCGGGAAAGAGTGGGTTGATTTGCAGGCTGAAGGGCCGCGACTGGATGGCGGCCGGCGTAGGTTAGCAGGAAGACGCGGATGGTCGTAAACATCCTGCTGTCTACTGTTTTGGCTCATCGGTACCAGGAGTAATGTTTTGTAGAATTGCAACATCTGGCATTTTGAAGATTAAATTAAATGTAAAAACAGATTTTCGGGTATTAACATGATATTGTTACTAATTCGCTGAAATTTGGAATAGGATACGAAATCATAATAAGCAAGCTGGTAATATATATATTAGTTATTTATGTCATTAGGTTAAGAAGTAAGGCTTTTTGTGCTAAGCTCAAGGTTTGAAGGCCGACGCGTAGCGGAGGCCTACAATTGAGCGAAGCACAAAAAGGCACTTCTAGGCCGAATGGCATACAGCATTTTATCTTCAAAGCACTTTATATAGGTCAATTTAATTCAACATCAAAGCGGCCTAACCTCACTTTTTTGTAATCTCATTTATTTATTAGCTAAAGATTACATTAAATGTACAATAATTATTATTGCTTTTAGAAGCAGTAATAGTTTGACAATACCTTGCAACATGATTTAAGTAGAAATGGATTTTTGCTATTACATTGAATTCAATTAATTGTTTAATAAATAGGTAGACCTATATCTAGTTTCAATTTGTTTGGATTTTTATTTAAAAAATAGGTAGTTTGGAATGTTTAAGCTGTGTTTAACATTTAATTTCACTGAAAACTTAAAGCAAATTAAAACTTAAAGATAATTTAAATCGTAGAAAAAGAATCGTGCGTTTTCTTGGTTGCCTAACATCACTTTTTGTTTTATTATTCATATTTAATTTTATAATAATTTAATGAAAAATATTAAATATTAACAGTAAAACAAACAAATTAGTGTTTATTATAAATAAATTAAACCAGTTTAGTACGTCAATTTCTTAGAAAAGGATTAATTTGTCAAAACAATACCCCTCATAAAAATTTTTATCGGCCTAGGCCATAACAAGGTATTTCTTTATCGAATGTTGACAACAATAATGTTTAAATTATAGACCGCGTGGAGATAAATATATATATTTTGCTCTCATTCGATTACACTATTACCCAGAAAATTTTATTTTTTATTTTGGACACCCCAAAAAAAATTGCGTGCAACTTCCCTAATGCTCTTTCTACTATTTGCATCGAAGTAGAGATTCAAAATTTCCGGAAAAATTGAGTGTCGGAAAAAAACCCTGTTTTTTTCCTGGAAAAATTGGAAAAAAACGGAAATTTTGGGAAAAATTGGTATTTTCTTAAAAACTAAAAAAAAATGTTTAAAAATATTTTAAATATTTTTTATAATATTTATAAATTATTTTGATTAAAAAATTCCCGTTATGTATAGGCGCCCCCGGGGGAGGCACCTGTAGGGTCATGCTTTTTAACGATGAAAAAAGCCTAGTTGCCTAGTTGCCGACGGCCGTAATTCACATTAAAATCATTGTTGTATAGGTAACTATTCAAAATACACTAACCCAGGAGTTAGTAGCATATTCAATGATTTTAACATCACAATGGCAACCCTGCCCGATCAGCTGATTAGGAACCGACAGGTCGTTCGTTTACAGCGTTACGGTAAGCATAAAAACATTTATCTTGTATTAAATATACTTTTTTTATTGTACCCACAATACACAATGGTATGCTTTTTGCTCAAAGCACAGACTTCTATGAGGCGCCGTTTGTGCCATAATTATGATTTATAAAATATAGAATTATTTGTAAAAATATAAATATTTTTTGTAAAAATATAAATATTTTTTTTTAATATAAATAATTTGTTTGAAATATATATATTTTAACTCATTTTCTTAGATATATATTAGTTTTACTAAAATATATAATATTTTAACTAAATAATATATATTTAAAACAGTAATACTAATAATATAAACTCAATACTAATAATATAAACTAAGCTTACAAGACGTAACGCTAGGAGGCGCTGGCAGCTTTATTTAACTTGGCAACGCAGCCTTTCTATCATTTCATGTGAGAATTACAGTGGTGTAAATTAAATAACTTTTTGCCGCACTTTGGCTTTTTGTTATTTTTTATATGTTTAAAGTTAAATCCAGTTCTGGATGTTTATTGTCGTGACTCTCTTTTTAAACAATAATTTTTTATTCCTTAATTCTGGGCTATGCAAAACTATGTCGTCGATTTGGTTCCATTACTGCGGTGAAATTTTAAATGACCTATTAATCTGTTAGATTTTAATTTAAACTTATACCCAAGTGCTTTATTACGTACCAGAGGTATTATTATTTTTATGTATCTTCTAGTTTTATTTAATTTACACCACAGTAATTCCGACATGCAATTACAGACAGGCTGCGTTGCCAAGTTAAATAAAGCAGCCAGCGCCTCCTGGCGTTACGTCTTGTAAGCTGAGTTTATATTATTAGTATTAAAATTATATTATTAGTTCAACTGTCCAAATATATAAATATTTTAAATATATATTATTTTGTAAAAATATTATTATATTTTAGTAAAACTAATATATAAGTTATAAAATAAGCTAAAATATATATATTTTAGATAAAATATTTATATTTTAAACAAAATATATATTTATTTTAGAAATTATTATATATTTTACAAATCATAATTATGGCACAAACGGCGCCTCATAGACTTCTGTACTACTGCAAAAATATATTTATTTAATTTCCACTCATTAATACATAAATTATATCAAATCAAAATACTTTTTAGATTTTCGTTTTTTTTTTAATATTTTTTCAATTTTTCCGTTTTTCAATTTTTCCAAGGCTCGGGAAAA